TCATCTGTGCGCGATTCAATCTGGGTCGTCCGTGCGCAATTTCAATCTGGGCCATCCGTGCGCGTAGGAACGGACCTCAGCCGTTCGATCGCGCACACGCAGATCGCCCACGTGGCTCCCCTTCGCGTGGCCTCCCGCGTCAGAGCCTCTGGCACCTAGCGCATCCTAGTTGGTCGGGGCTGCTGACTGGGCATCTGACGTGGTGCAATTTTTCTAAATTACATTTTAACTCCCGATTTTCGATTTTTCTTTCAAAAATACCTCCAAAACCTAAATTTTCACCCATTTTTCTCAAAATTATTTTCAATTTAATCTTTAACAAAAATTTTACCCCTTTTTTCATTAAATTAAAATAAAATAAATTAAATAAATATAAAAAAAATAAAAAATAAAAATAAAAATAAAAACAATTATTGGGTGTTACAATTATAGTCAACGTGGCCAATATTTTTCATTTGAAATCATGTAGATACCCTTGGGTGGGATGAAGAGTTTTCGCTATTCGAATAGATTAAATTCATTATTGATGGTTAAGAGAAATATAATCTTACCAATAAAAAGGAGACTTTATATGTGGCTCTTGTATTATAGTCAACATGACGAATATGCACAAGTTGGACTAATAATATAAATATGTTTAATGCTTTATAAAGATCAAGAATTGCAATTAGGGATATCCACAAACTAATAATCGAGATAGATTTCTTTTATATAGGAGACTGTTATAATATCATACTTTTTAAGGTAAATAGGATGACAAACGATATCAAATACTAAGTCCAAAACTATCTCCAAATGAGTCGAGAAATCTAGATGTGACACATTCTCGTAGAAAGAAACGTTTGCCCTATCTATGTTCAAAAATTATAGAGATACACCTCTACTTTAATAATTATAATAAAATTTAGATTAGATTGACTAACTAACTATTATTTTTTAATTAAATACACATATACATGCTACTTAGTTATTTTGTAAATAGTTAGAAAAGAAACAAAACCATTTTTTCTATTTTAATTTTAGCAATCAAGGTATCATTGACTAACTTTTGTACAAATAGGGTAAGTTTATCCCTAACTTTACTCAAAAAATGCGACCAACAAAAATTAAAGTTAGATAGTCAAAATATAAAAGTTATATTTCCACCAAGTAACAAACATTTTAATTTTTTATTCCTATATATATACATATATATATATATATATATCTTTATGAGAATATAACAAATACAATTATTGATTATATATGTATATTGAAAGTAAGACTAAGTCACTTTATAATTGTAACGACTCTGAAAATTTAAAAAGAAATGCATATAATAATTTGAGTGCGGAAGCGAAATAAATGTTAAGGTTAACATCCCTTACACGATAACTCAAAAGTACTAACAAATATCACGGAACAAATTCTTTGAAAGAAATATAAAAAATAGAAAAATAAAGAAAACTATAAAGTATCTAGCATCTACTTGTAGCCTTCTTGCGGATCGAGCTCGGGAACTAGATCCTCTTGATCTGAAATGGTTAAATAAATGGTGAGTTACACTAGCCCAGTAAGGATATCACAATATATCATCGTCACAGAAGCAAAGGTTGGTAAAAAATCAAAAACAACAAATGGAGCACAAATTTTAAACCAATACATTCATTAAAATTAAAATCATTTTTCTTTTTTCTTACCCTTGGAGAACCTGTGAAAACAACATATAAAGACAATAACATAATACAGATCATAACTTCATGCACAATCAGTAACATAGAATATATTATAAATTCATATTCATTAACAATAACTAATCATCACCGTTTCTCGTTTCACCAGCTTACTAGTATCCATGGGGATCCGTAGGGGTATTCCCACTATACGTGAACTCTTTCTTTACCAATCTTAATTCCAGGGTCGTCCCCATACCCCGTCCGGTATGAGCACCAAGACATTAGATCTCAATACCATATCTGGTATGAGGGTGAAGCGGGCCATCCCCATACCCCATCCGGTATAAGACAACATTCACGGTAGGGTTCCATATGAACCCGGTCTGTCCACCATCTCTCAAAATATCTAGTGAGGCTGTCATCTTATCCATTTATCAGATCACATCCTATTTCTGTTTGTCTTTAGTCTCCGTCACCAAATCAAACATAAATACATAAACAAGTAACGTGCATCCAATAATGCAATCATATCTTAGATTCTCAAAATCAAACGGTAGTGAAGTAAGCAGTGATACATAGGTTTAAAACCATAGAATAGATAAAAGAGATATCATAATGCATTTAAACTGTAAAATAAATCAAACAGGAATCGACAGAGAATAATGTCTGGTTCGGGCTCCATTAGCAATCCGTAATTAATTATGCATATCTATTTAATTTGTACAAAAGACAATATTATCATTTATTCAAACTTCAATTCTATGATAGGAAATAGGG